TTGTCGAGCGCACCTGGCCGTCGAGAATCAGCAGATGTTTGCACAGGGGGAGCAATTCCGGGCAGAGAGCCTACTAATTTCGGGAACATTTCGCACTGCGCCCGAGGAGACGAAGACGACGCGCGATTGGGAAGCGACCAGCTTCTCGCGCAATTGGTGCAGCAGGTAGTGTTGTGCTTCCGCTGGTTAGCAGTTCGTCTGTCACCTCACGGGTGCAGGAAACGAATACGTACAAAGATGATTGACGATGTAGGACTCGCACCACTTGGATCCATGAGGACCAGGCTCCTCGGCGCTGTTGGAGATGGCGGCATTGAGCAGCACGTAGTCGATCTTCTGCTGGCCCAGCGTCTCGAGTGTCTGTTGAGCAAAGGTTTTCACCCCCCTGAGGTCTGCAAGCTCCAGAGGCAGGACCGTGACATTGTGCTTGGACTCGTCGAATTTGAGGTCACCAAAGGCCTTCTGGGCACCCTCGGCGTTCCGCGCGCCTAGGATGACACGGTAGGGCTGAGTTTGCTGGAGAAGCTGCTTGATAGCTTCGAACCCCTGAGCAGGTCTCTGTTAGTTCGTGTCCAGGATTCTAACATTCCCCGCCTTGCTTGGGGTCCCCAAATGTGCTCCTGCGCCAGGACACGACTCACGAGTCCAGAAGAGACGCCCGTGGCGACGATGGTTTTCGCGAGTGCAGACATGGTGGGGGGGAGGCCAAGAGGCTGAGATGATTGCAACAAGCTTGAATAAGAAAGTTGGGCCTGGGGAAGCTCTCAGTCTTTAATATGAAGCTCAGCTGGGAATGCGGGGCTACACAGATCCGTGGACACTGACTTCAGCCCTGGAAAAAACATCCACGAGTCCATGACGCATGCAGTTCAACCAATGTATGATAAAGCTCTACGACGCTGACCAATACATAAAAGTGGCACAGCAACAATTTCACGTCAGAGCAGACACGCGGTGATTAGCGAAAAACGGCCAGAGTAGTAGGTGAGGCATGGGCGCCCTGGATTGGTGTAAGCCGACTGCATGAAGCGTGCCCCACCATTGACCAGCGTGAAGCCGACTAACAGACTTATGTTGCCATAGTCGCCGCAAATGACAATACTCCAATTCCCACATGCAAGCAATGCAAGTTGAGGGGGCTTTGAGCTCTCCCAGTCAGTGAAACACGGCTTTGCTTGGAGTGACTGGGCTTTACTTGCAGCCTTGGGAAGATGACGTTCGAAATGCAGCAGCCGCGATCACGAGAACGAATCTGCTTGCGACATCACACTATAAACAGTCCCGAGCATAGATGGTGTGAATCCTCAGATTCATTCTTTTAGAGTTGCTGATATGCTACCTGCAGTGACTTCCTTGGGCAATGGGTATGCAGAGCTCTTCTCCAGTGATATCATTGTTGTCGAGGCAAAGAGCCAAATTTTCCCTTTCGCTCCCGCTCGGCCCTCTGTTTATCAGAGCCAGCACTCAACGACGGATCTCATCATATTCAATGGTGTCCCTGGAGGTGTATTTGCCAATAGCACCCTGCCGTCCGACCGACTCATCGTTGCCCATGGCAAGAGAGCCTGCTTTGCGGGGACACATGCAAGCGTCGTTGTCACAAACAGAGTTGTGGATAGGGTTCCATCGATCGCAACAGACAGGATCCTGGTCGCGGCTCTCGATATTGTTCTTGCACTGCCAGTGCTTGAGGTCAGCGTCTCCGTACTTGGTCTGACGCATCTTGATGGTGTCGGTGGATATGTTTAGGTGTGCTTGAAAGGGTTGAAGTCTTGTTGTCCTGTGGTTTTGGGTTCTTGAGAGTAGTTTTTGGTTCCTTTTAATCTTCAGAAATCAGAAGCCAAAGATACGATTTTATACATCCTAGCGAAATCTTGGTAGCTTGGGTGAATGGCTGGAAAACGCCCTGTGCTGGTGATACTGCTCTGAACTGATGAATGGAGGACCACCAATTCACACTCTGAACCCATATGAATTTCCGGCATCTTGTGGTACGTCAGCTCCGGAACATTTTAATCACAACTTACTGAGTTGTGATTGTTCTTGACTTAATGTTCAGTAGTTGGTTTGCACTCAGACTTGTAGCAGGCCGCATCAATCAGGTCAATTGCTTGACTCACTCTGAATGAAGCCCCTGGCTTCTATTGCAAGTGCCTGGGGTCCGATTTGACGAGAAACCGACACACAGAGCCGTTGCAATGACTGGAAATAACAGTTCGAGTAGTCACTGTCACGGATTAGACAAGTCGAAGTTGTTTATGCCCGGGGCCTATAACTCTATGAATGCAGCCCAGTTGAATCAACGCCGCATCCTTTTTGCTCAATTGGATAGCTGCCGTAAGGCATTTATGACCGTGTGAAGGTTGTCACCAGACCCCTTCGGAGACACCGGAACAGTCACTTACGCATTTGACGTTTACCGAAATACATAGTACAATGGAAACGATGGAAATAATACGTTGGCAGGCACTGCGTCGACGAGGTAGTCAGAATTAATATCTAGGGGACTTTGATTCACTTTTTCCACTGAAAAATGGCCAGAAGCCATGGCTCAGCAATGTCCTCTAGTCATTGCTTTGCGTAACTCACTAAGAGTCACCTTGCGCTGATCATCCTGATCTGCCAAGCTACATCTTATTGCACTCCAAGCAATTCGGTTTTGAGACTCTGAATTGCTTTGTACTAACTGTAGAGCCCGACCAGCCAAAGCGTCTAATCATTGCCATGATACATTCGCATCCGACGGTACTTCATACACAAATACAGGCTTTGTAGACTTCCGTCGGCTGTTCTTGAGATCGACCTGGAGACTTCTCAATCGGAATGCGGGGTCTCTGCAAACTACTCCAGGAAATGATCCTTTTCGTGGGGTGATTCAGCGGTCAATAGGCTGATTCGTGGCGATTGGCGAGCAAATTCGCCGTATTGGGGCATGATGCCCCCAATGCCACCCAGCTCGGTCCATCTACGAACGAGACAGACCCTCCGAGCGATCTGGAAGAGTGTTACCAGGTAAGTGCTCGGGGCCAGAAGCTTAAAAACATTGATATCCGTCTAGCTGGGCTGAAGTGTCCATGACTCGGCTCGAGCCGAATTCTTCATCCATAGTCGTCAACATGAAACGATCGTTGACTTTTCTCATCCTCTGCCTAGCAGGGCTCTGTCTCGGCAAGAAATCATGTCGGTCTGACGACGATTGTAGCCTGAACGGCGTTTGTTCTTGCAACATGGGCTGCGTCTGTGACTCGGGCTGGCGAGGTGTTGACTGTAGTGAGTTGGATCTCCAGCCTGTCGAGAGGTACACGGGCTATAACTACACAAACATCACCATGGATTATTACTATCGCGACGGAGGCGGAAACTCCTCTTGGGGCGGCCACATTATCCAGGATCGAGAGGATAAGAAACTCTTCCACCTGGTCGTCGCCCAATTTCCCTACGGCTGCGGCCTCTCTGCATGGCGGCCTTTCAGCACGGTCATCAGAGCTGAGTCTCGAACTGGTCCTCGAGGTCCGTATCACTTTGCACAGGAGCTGTTCAGTACCTTTCACCACAACCCAACGACGATATGGAGCCCCGCCGACGAAATGTACCTCATGTTCTTCATCGGATTTCCTTGGGAGGTTCCCGACACCTGCAAGTCGACCAAGAGGAACAATACGATTTCCGTTTCCAGTTCGCCCGACTTGCGTACCTGGGGCGAGTCCTATCCTCTCGTCGTCAATGTTACAAACCCTGCTGGTTGGCCCCTCTGGACGCCAGAAAATCCAACATCGGAGATTCTCTTGGCCGCTGAAAAGAACAACATCTACCATTCTGACAGGTGGAATGGACCGTACGAGCTCGAGGTAGAACCCGGCAACATTGAAGTTCACCCCAGTCTCCGCAGCGAAGACCCGTTCTTGTGGCGCGATAAACGGGGTCATTGGCACATTCTTCAGCACCACATGATCGATATCCCTGAGGCAAAGGGACCCCACGTTGGAGCCCATGCCTATGCCAGAAAGTGGGAGGGTCCGTGGACGTATAACAACATCACGTTGGCGTACAACACGACAGTGGAGTTTACAGATGGAACGAAGACAGACTACTACCGTCGAGAAAGGCCCAAGCTGTTCTTCAGCGATGATGGAGAGATGACGCCGCTCTACCTTGTGAACGGTGTTCAGGAATTCGATTCCAGAGCCTCTTACACTCTGATCCAGCCTATTGGAGCCGCATCTAAAGAGTTTGAGAAGTCTTTGGGTTTTTGAACTAGGTTCCAGGAGACATGATTCAACACTGCGGGAAATTGCACGCTGGTGAGCACATGCATCTGCATTTTCAAGTCAGCAGTCTCTCAACATAGGTACTTGAACGCGAACCAAGCTAGCATCATATGGCAGGCGCAGTGCAAACTGCAGATGCAACATTCAAGCCATCCGTGTAAGGGCTATGTGATCTGAACCCAGTTCGTTGACTTGATGCTGAGGAGACCCCCCACCCCCCGGGGGATCTGTCGTCATGCTCAGAATTCTTCCCCTTCCCCCACCTGAATCTCATCTGCGTAAGGCCAGAGGGAACCTCTGACAGGTATCCACCTATCTAGACTGTTGGCTTCTGCGAACGCGAAAGACCGTAGACGCTCGTGATGAGCTGTCGCCTCGTAGGCCCGTGCCCACTTATCTATATATATGCCTACGTGGCCTTCTAACCCAGGTAGAGTAATTCATCTATCTTACACCTACAGAACAGCTACCTAGCATCTGTTGTGTGTTCCTGGCGTGACGCCTGCCTGGTCCCCAAGACCCGACTCTATTACTAGCCGCACTAGAGCCGTAGCCATTTCTGTGCGTAACACGCGTTCTATGCGGGCTATCTTGGTCTTATTATAGAGACTTCTCCGACGTAATACTACCCTTACTAGTTTATCGATAGGAGAGCGGATAGGATCCCGAGCTTTCTAGTAGGTATGGTCGTATGTGTATGAAGAAGAGTGTTGTGCAGAACATGAATCAACGTGGGATGCTGGTCCTGACTTATCTTGGCACCTAATTCCCTGAGCCCCTCAAGCTGCAGCTGGTCGCAATATGGGGGAAGAGGCATAGGAACAACTATGCGCGCTTGAGCTGCATTGATATTGTGAGGCTGCAGGCGATGTGAACACGGTTATCGTGAGAATGTCGACCTAGGTCGCACTGCTAGATGATCTTTTTTGGAAGCAGAAACAGGGTCTAGCCTCGACATGATATGGGGTCCCAGCCGCTGGGTTGCGACGTTGGACCAACCGATCGATGCAACCCTAACCCTGGACCCCGCTGCAGATACGTCATTTCGGCCAACGGTTGTGGCGCCACTCACGACCACTGACATCAACGGGCATGACGTCAAAATCCAGAACCAATCGACTCAACATGGCCACGAATCCTAGGCCTTGACCCAGCTGTAAACAAGTTTGTCGAGCCCCGGGATGGACAGCAATCCTGGCAGCACGGCCGAGTATGCTGTGCATCATGGCCTCTGACGCGTTGCTGTGCTGCTTCTTCAAGAGCCTTTTCCCGTCGTTGTCGTTCATCTGGAGCATTGCTTCCTCATCCATCGCAGTCATCAACCCGGTATAGCTATATTCCACGAATTTCATTCCAGCACCCATCTAGCAACTCGACCCCAAATCACACTCTCAAGATGCCTTCCATGCTCGGTCTCACCACGGACAAGTCCCCGCACGGACTGAACAGCAAGGAGCCCTTCATGGGCGAACAGAACCACGACAATGACGACATGGGCAAGCAGCTTGCCCGACGCGCCGGCGACTCTCTCACCAAGGCCTACAATGGCAAGAAGGACAAGAAGAAGTCCAGCCGCCGAAAGCACTCACGCCGCGACAGCGGTCACGGCGACAGCGAGGACGACTCTGACAATGACGTCAATGCCTCTCGGAAGCGAGAGGAGCGCATCCGCCAGCATGAGGAGGACGACGAGGAAGAGGGTGACCGCCCCAACACCATCAAGGAGCGCAACTCCAAGGCCGCCATGGAGGGTGAGACGCTCTTCTGGCGCGCCCTCTGCGACAAGCCCTCCAGCGCCTTCAAGTACATGGGCAAGGATGCCGTCGTGTCCAACTATCTTCTCTTCGGCGACAAGAACCCCAGAGGTCCCAAGACGGAACCCACCCTAGAGGAGGCCCTCGAGGATTGCGAGGGACCTCTGAGCTACAGGATACACAAGTCGTACACTGTTGAAATTGGTCTCATGGCTGTCGCCGTCGTCTACGACGTCACCCTCTACCGCAGCCACGGGCCGCCGGCCCGTGACGGCACCGTCAAGATGAAGGTACAGCAGGCCACGGTGACGAGCACGTGGAGGCAGGTTGCCAGCGGCGACTATGTTCTGGCCTCATCCATGTGCGGTTGAAACATGTATGAATTATAACGTCTGTATGGTATCGGACTGGTGCGGGGCGTTCTTGGGCTTCTCTAGTATTCGGCATGCACCCTATGTTCATGACTTTCGGGTTCTGTAATTGACAATCCACTATGTTGGTAAATCGCTTTGTTCGACGTTGGATGTTTTTTGTCATCCAAGTGATGTGGACGATAATTCTGACGCCGAGCGGTATCCACGAATAACAACCACGCGCATCTGGTTACGTAGGACTCTTCTTAATTCTACTACCGCTTGTGAACCGAACGAAAACAAGTTCATCGACCTGCGCTACCTGCTATCGAGACCCTGTCCAACAAGGCTTCCAGAGAACTCAAGCCTTCTCATCAATGTTGAACACCAGCTTCTCGCCGCTGACTTTCTTCTCTTCCAGCAGCTTAAGGCCTTCTAGAATGCCGCCCAGTCCGCCAGCGAGAACCTTGGGCTTGTGCACCTTAACCTGGCCTTCAGCCAAGAGGTTGTCCGCAAGCGGCAAAAAGTTCTCGGCAAACGCCCTATCCTCCTGGCTTCCTTTCCACGAGCCGAAACCCTCAAAGTCTTCGCCAAAGATGGTGTATCCAAGGGTCCAGCGATCCTTGACATTCTCCCTCTCAATCTTGATCGCGAGAAGGGAAGAGTAGTCTCCGCCCTCAGTGGAAATGGCGTCATCGCAGAACTTGGCAGCGGACTCGGTGGCAATCGTGTCAAGAACCAATTTCAGATTGTTGTTGGTGAACTTACGGATCTCCACGCCAGCCGCGGGGTCTCGTGAGTTGAAGACAGCGTCGGCTCCAAGGGACCTGAGCAGATCAAAGTTGTGGGGTGATGCCGTCGCGATGACCTGGTACCCCGAGAGCTTGGCAAACTGGATGGCGAGCGTGCCGGTAGCCGTGGACCCGCCGTAGATGAGGAGAGGGACGGGTGTGGCGATCGGTGCGGTCGGCAGGTTCAACTTCAGGCTCTGATACAGGCTCTGGCCGACAGTTGCTACGCCGACGCCGAGCGTTGACGCCTCTTGGAAGCTCAGGTTGTTAGGGATGATGTTGCTGAGATCGCCCTTGACCATGATGTACTCGGCAAACGCGCCGTCCTCATGCTGAACCGAATTGCCGCCGTGGACAAACCCGTAAACGCGATCGCCATTCTTGAAAGGCTTTTTGATGCCAGTGCCGACCTCTTCGACGATGCCAGCATAGTCGCAGCCAATGAGAGAACCAGCGTCGGCGATGTGCTTAATGTGCACCCAGTCGGTGGGGTTGAGGGCCACACTGACCGTCTTGACTAGCATGTACTCATCCCTTGGTTTGGGGAGAGGCCTATCAGTGACAAGGCTGGCCTGGCCTGGAGAAGTGACGACGATGGCCTTCATTTTGAATACAGACACTGTAGTGAATTGGATGACAAGACGGAGGGAGAAATTGGTGAGCACTGGGACTGAGATTCTGCGAGATTTCGATTTCTTTTTTATACCGCTCGTCATCGATGCCAACAGCACTATGCATGCGGGAGGTAATCCACTTGGCGTCATGTGTATTAATCAGTCAGAGACTGCCTTATAACGTTATGACTTAGAGGTGGGGTTGCTTTACCCATTTGGGCACTTCGTCATCGGCTATCCTCTGTATGATTGGTTTCCGCCCTGGATTAAGGAAGAGATCTGCCCTATGCTTAGCAATTGGCAGTCAAAGCTGTTCCGTCAGGGACTTGGTAGTAAGTGTTGACGGTACAGATGTATAGTCAGCCCCGTCTCTTTGCTACCTATAGCTGTAGGACTTGGCACTAGCCCTAAGCATAACGTCCAAATGCTCGTGGGTAACGATATTTGGTTGTTTAGCAATCCCAATCGTGCATCACCGGCTTGAGGGGGGGCAACAGTGGCTGCAGAGCGGTCAAAATGCCTGAGGGCTAACATGCTGTGCCGACCAAGGAAACCTCTCGCTGTTGTTGAATTTGCGAGACCTGATTGACCTGGAAGAGATATCCTTGAGAAGTACTGCGTGGCATTGAGGCAGGGCAAACACGTGCTGCTAGCTCTTACGCCAACTCGACGAGTTCCCGATCGATGTGAGAGGGGTTAGTATTCTCATCTACAGACAGCCAGAGCCGCAGAACCTGTAGTACATGCTGCTGGCCCTAGCAGAAGCTTTCTTTAAGCGATTCAGGCATTCCCCGAGGATCAAAAGCGTACCCAGAAGATGTCTGCTGAATGATAGCAGCACCTGCTAGAAAAGATCATGACCTGGAGGCCTGTCTCGTCCTCAGCTTCAGGGCCACTTTCCACGAAGACAGTGTCTTGGTCAATGTTGAGAAACCAGTCCGAGCACTACATCACAGAAGCAATTGCAAAAAGCGGGCTGTCACATCAGGCGGACAAGACACGCAATTTCGTCCTCAACCTGTTACTCACGACAGCAAGGGCTCTTGAACTTGCGAGGGGCAGAATCGAGACGATCAAGCCAGACGTTGAAGTTGATATGACGATGATTGTCTCAAGACGGATCTCGGTGTTCTGGCACCCGCTTGAGTCGAAACAAGGAGGCAGGTGTGATCCCCAGTCGCGGCCAAAGCCCGACTGCAACGCAACATCCGTCGGAACCAGAGCTTAGACCGGCTGCCTCGAGTCAGCGTGGAAAAGCACCACCGTCATTGCCAAGCAACACAGACGGTCAAATGTGTCGAGGTGCCAAGAGGGCCGAGTACGACTTTGATTACGCTCAGGCTCGCCTCATACTGTGAAGAGCTCTGGGCACTGCAACAGTTTGTAAACACGAAACCTTGTAGTAAACAGGAAACAGCTGCCCCCTTCTACCCAATCAAGCCCGCGCCATCGCAGTCTAGATGGTGGCGTAGGGGGTCAGATCGCGTCGCACACGTGGCGTTGGAGGTTCCCGGTGGTTGTGTCCCGTCTCCAACGGAACCGCCACTAATCGGGGTTCGTCCGACTCCTCGTACACAGCGTCCTGACTCGCGGGACCGGCTTAAGCTTCGACAGTGCATTGGGGGGTAGATGACGAATTTCCGAGTTCGCATGGTCTGCACAAGGCACTCGGGTCATCTGTGCCGACTTGATCAGTAACTGTGGTTCCTCCGAGCAGGCCCAGCGAGCGACTGAGGACTTAGCTGTAAGGCTGAATCGATCCGAGTCTGCAAATTCTAAGAGGCGGGGAGCGCTGGTGGGCGAAAGAGTCACTGGGTCACCGTGGTGGATATCCCGCACTTCAACGCCGGAACCAAGCTGAAGCTGTGGCTTGACAGCAATTACGCACTCGCCGAGTCTGGCAGAGATGACGACTCCTCATCCTCGTTCATCGTCTGCCAAGTCTGCGCCGCAGCAGAAGCAGAGATGTTGCCTGGATGCCAAGTTTTCAAGCATCGCATAGATGAGAGGCCCAACAAGGGAATATCCCAACGATTCGGTTCCGAGCCACATTGGGATATGTGCCCCTGATAGCACTTGCTCTTGCTCTTTGCGCTGCTCGGTACATACTTCAGGCGGCACAAAGAAACAACATCGTAGCAGGCAGAGCAGGGGGGAAACAACATCGTAGCAGGCAGAGCAGGGGGGAAACAAGCTTGAACAAAGTGGAATATTTTGGGTATCATTGTGCATGCAATCAGTCCGGCGATCTCCTCGGTGCCGTCCCCCACCGATCGTACCACCTCTTCTTCCTCCCCCTTCCCCCATCTCGATCCCTCGGCCTCCCAATGCTCCAGCGCCTGTCGCCCCAGTCCCTCCTCTCACCGCGCAAGCCGCCCCTGACCTGCCCCTTGCCCTCCTCCTCGACAACCTGCAGGCTATACGCGCCCGCCGCCGACCTCGTCTCGCCGTCCCGGCCCAGGCCAAACGCGACGTACGTCTCCCGCGGCGCAGGCGGCACCTCGTACAACATGCCCGTCCTCGAGTTGAACGAGAACATCCTGTTGCCCGCCTCCCCCGGCGACAGCGGCGGCAACTGCCCGGCCGCGGCGGCCACAATGTCCGTCAGCTCGAGCGTGACGCCGTTCTGCTGCTGCTGCTGCTGTCCGTGCGGCGTGCTGACGCGCACGCGTCGCCGGTAGGTCTGGTCGAGGTCGGCCTCGACGTCGTCGGTCATGCTCGAGGCCGTCCGGACGCCGCCGCCGCTCGAGTCGAGCGATTCGGTAAAGGTGCCCTCGGCGATGACGCCGCAGTTGCGGTTGCGCGCAATCTTGCCGATGAGATCGGCCATGGACATTTCAATGTTGAGCTTGACGATGTACGCTAGGGGGTGCACTTGCTAGAGGGGAACGGTGTTAGCCTTCGAGGACAACGAGTGGCTCGATGCTACCGCCGGAGCAGCAGCAGCAGCAGCACATACCATGTACACAAACGAGTTGCCAAGGCTCATCATGCCAATGATAAAGACGTCCATGCTCAGGGAGAAGCCAACGATGAACATGTTGAAGCGGACGAGGGAGCGGTACTTGGTGAGGCCGTGCATGATGAGGTTCTTCTTGACAATGTGGATAAAGTAAAAGTTGAGCATGGCGTCGACGACGAGGTAGATGCCCTTCTCGCAGCGGTCCCACCACTCGTTGATGTGGACGTAGCGCTCCGAGATCTGCAGGCGCGCGGGGATCCAGATGCAGTAGACGGATATGTTGACGAGGGTGATGAGGGCGGCGATGCCCCATTTCAGGCGCGAGGCCCGGTTGGGGTCCGTCATGAGGATGGCGCATCGGTTGACGATGATCTGGAGGAGGAACTGGACCTGGAGCGCCCACATGGTCACTGGCAAGGGGGGGGAAGGCCCCGTGTTAGTGCTTTGCTTCCTGTCTGCCAAGCCGACACATGACGATGACGGGATCGGGGGAGGGTTCACCCACGGATGGTAAAGTAAAATGCAAAGCTGGAGGGACGGTCAGCCTTGTGTGTTCTTCTCGCATGCATTGCACCCCCGTAGCCGCAGGATGCAGCGGCAGTCACAAACGCCAGGACTGAACCCCTGCAAGACCAAGCCGTGCAACGAAAATGGACAAACCAAAGAGAAAGGGGCCAAGATTTGAGGCAACGTACCTAGGGGGTATAACGTGGAGCAGATACAGGAAACAGATAATAGCAAAGACGAGGCAGACGGCAATCTCGAGCCAGATCATCCACACATAGGCATTGCGCCAGACGCGCATACCGTGACGGCGCCACACATGTTTCGTCTGCTTCGCGGCCGTCCATGTCGTCAGCCAGCCAAAGCCAATGGTGAAGCCGAGGGCGAGTGAGGCGATGATGATGTCGTAGCGGGAGACCTCGA